TGTACATTGTACTGCTGCACTACGGTGCCAGAGGAATGATCTTCGACATAAAGGAGGTTGCGGACAGTTTGATGTGGCAAGAGAACAGCATCATAGAGTAAGAAATCAGTAATATCAATCATGGCATGGACCATGACACCGTCGTTCCATACCTCCCAATGGTCAGAGGCGTGTACAATAGCCATGTAATGGCCAGGCCCATGCACAATGCAGGCAGAGATGCGGGATGGAGGATTAAACAGCTCACCTGGTAGAGCATGGCGTAGTTCAAGCTGGCGGTTCCTCATCGCTATTTCTAGGACAGCAATGGTAAAACCTCCTTCCCTGGTGTAATTACGATGCTCTGGCTGTAGGTCGGGGGGATCAGCGAGATTAGCGAGATCAACATCAAGCTGCAAGGCAATTGCAAGGAAATCTGATGGTGTATACAACGGCCGATTGAGAACGTGAAGGCAGCTTTTAGTTGCAGTCAGACCACAAAGATTGGCGGGGATCTCAGGCTGGTTTTGTTGGTCAGTCATTTGTAGATCACCCGTGGGGTCTGTGCAGGGTGGTGCACAAGTATGCGGTTCATCCATATGATCCTGGTCAGCCATTTGCAAATCCCTCGTGGGGTCTACGCCATGTGGGATTAAATGCAGTCCAAGCAGATCATGTTCCACTCCCTCAGCGTTCGGGGCCACACAGGGTGGGGCACAAGTATGCGGTTCATCCATATGATCCTGGTCAGCCATTTGCAAATCTCCCGTGTGGTCTATGCCTTGTGGGGTTAAATGCAGTCCGAGCTGATCATGTCCCAGGCCCTCAGCGTTCGGGGCCACATCGTGAGTAGGGACTGTCGTTGGGAGTGTACTCTGGGCAGGGACCATATCCTGTTGCACAGCTGGGGGACAAAGAACATGGAAGGGCATAAAACATGGTGCTGTGGCTGTGTGCAAGCAGCTGGACTGTCTGCAGGAGGCATAGGAGCGGATGTATCCGTTTGGGACAACGGAACCGCAACAACCCGTGGAGGAGGCACAGAGAGAATTGGGGTAGACAAAGAAGCAGGCCGCTGATTCCTGGCCAAGTGGCGATGTTATGTCGTGGACGATGATACACAATAAGAGTGGCGATGTTTCTAATAGAAGATGTCACTGGCAATGAAGTCGGAACAATGGGAAGAATAGAAACCGGAGAATCGGTTCTCAAACRAGACCGTGGAGGAGATGGGGGTGGCGAGAAGGAACGCAGCCGTCTGCGGCCAAGCACAGAAAGGGATGAAAGGGGGGTGGATTCGGCAAGATGTCGGAATATAGGATGCGAGTGTGGGGCTGGGGTAGAGGAAGCTATACCAGTAAAAAATATAGCATGAGAAATTTGAGGTACAGAAGCAGAGGAAGTGGTAAAACGTGGAACCGCAGCAGAGACAACTGTTGTAGTAGGAACCGCAGCGGAGGCAACTTCCGTAGCAGGGACCGCAGCAGAGGCAACTTCCGTAGCAGAAACTGCTGGAGTGAAACCCGGAGTTGAAACAGCAGCAGTAGAAACTGCAGCAGTGGAGACCACAGCGGTGGAAGCGGCGGCGGTGGGAACCGCAACAGTGGGAACTGCATTAGCA